TATTTACGTTTTAGCTCAGAGCAAATGTAATGCAAGTGTAGTTGCATAACCATTAGAAAATAATTGAGACTGTCACATTGAAAATTGCGAAATAAAGACTTATGTCCTCAGTTTAATAGCATTGATATTGAAATAAATTGCTCTAAAAAAAATATATATATTGAATGTTTTTTAAACGTTTCCGTTACGAATGTAGCTATTCGTGATAAAAAAACAAAGTCGAAAAGTTCTCTACAATTATGCAATTTTAGCAATTATCGAATACAAGGTATCTGTACGTCAGCACAAGAGCTTAGACTTTTACTGTATTTGCGTTTTTAAGAGAATACAAGATTTATTATAACACTGTTTAACTGTTGTAACTGTTAAAACTACACTAGGCACAGAAACGTACTGATAACATTGATGGAAGCGAATGGATCGAGGTACCGTCAGACATTCGCTCGGTTTTTTTTTATAGTCACGAGAAGAGTGCGTGAATATCGTGATTTCCCACCATTCTCGGATTTATTTTCCAATAATGTCCGAAATTTATATTCCTCGACGATCACTCGTGAGATCACTAGAATTGCCAATCCTTCGACGACGATTCACAAAGGACACGGAGTCTTTATCACGCAATAAGCGATTGGAAGCCGCGGGAATGTGATATTATAGGCACCGAACTTTCCTATCTGATCGTTAAAAAAAACATGATACGTTCACTCATATTGTGTATGTTGCATATATCTGTGTCAGGTCTGATAGTTGGACGCATAACAGCAATGGTTGATGAAATATTATTTAATTCTAATGATTGCTGAATTAGTAGCACATATCCTAATGAACAAGAAACGTTTTGCAAATTTTATCAGCAACATTTTATTAGCAACAACTTTATTGAAATGTTTAAAAACGTTTTTTGTTTACTGAGTAGCCGATTCAACCATTAATTATTACAAAATTAGCAAAGTAATAAAGAATATAGTGTTTTTCTCATGAAATATTGTTACATCAATGATATACAAGCTATCACTGACCTTATTTAGACAACAACAAATTTATATTCCATCCAATCCAAATTTATATTTGGATTCCTTTGTTATAAGATTTCTTGATTATTAATGATGTTAGCACCAAATCGAGGAATTTTTGTAATAATGTTTTGACATAATTTGTCAATCCTACTTGTGACTCATCACTATTAAGATAAAAGTTAAGATAAAAAATGTAAAAACGTTTTCCTGATTTCCTCAAACTTACATATCGATAAATTTTGGCTGATTTTCTATTGATGTCGCCTTCATTAATTACAAAGAATGATAACTATGGATTTACTTGGATACTGCCTTCACTAATTGCAAGGAACGACAAATACGGAACAAAAGCGAATATTATACTGTGATTCTTATTATATATACCGTTGAATTTTTTAGTTATGTTTCTTAACATTGAGAATGATCCGACTGAGATCGAAACTGTTTTAAAAATTGTTTCAAAATTATGATTTATGTTTATAGAAATTTATTAAATATCTTTTGGTTCGTAGTCTTATGTTTTGATTTATAGAAAAATTTGCTGTATCTTGTAATACATATTAATAAGTATTTAAAAATTTATAGCTAGATATAAACCTGAAAAAATTTTGAACTACCAAAATGAATGTATATAAAAAGTTCAAGTATGCAATGCTGTAAAAAATTTTGTTACATGATGCATATAATAAAGTATGTTTAGATATCAGAAAATGATTTCTCTTGTAAAAAATAACCGCATATTAATAATAATATATAATATTAACAATATTGTATTTTTTTAATGATGAAACATGCCGGACATAACACATTTCCTCATACAATATTTTAAACAAAAATTTCTTGATTTTAAAATGTTTAAATATTTCTTGATTTAAAACAAAGATGACACACACACACACACACACACACACACACACACACGCACGCACACGTATACACGCACGCACGCATGCATACGAATAAAAACTAAAAAAAAAAACATGTCTTAGGCCTATTTTTCATTGACAGAGTCAATGAAATTCATTCATGAATTTCTTGATTACCTTTAATTTAGGTAATCATATATTGTGAAATTCTTAGTATCTATTATATTAATATCTATTTTTAATCTATTTAAATACATAAAATATTTAATTTTAATCTATTTAAACTATAAAATATTTATTAGATATACATTTATTTGATATAAATATATTTTTTATTTTTTGTATTAAACATTTTATGAATTAAAGATTAAATAAATATGAACACTATTTATTATAAATTTTCTCAACGATTCTCTTGAGAATAAAGGACATTTTCAATGCATTTGACATGAAACAGTTTCCAAAATTGTAGGAAAATCTTTTTCTGGATCCAGATGTAAAAGACGACAAGATACATTCCAATTTTTTCGAGTATTGATGATTGTTTGCCATTCGATATGGAGTATTTCTATTTCTAAAAATCGAAATCTTTATGTAAGAATTTATTTTCGATGTATATTTTTCCTTTATTATGTAACAAATCATTAATAAATAATTAATGATTGTCAAATATTATATGTAATTATGTGATTCAACGCAATTCGTATAAATAATGCGATGTTTGTGTTTTAATTTACGAGCGAGTTCCTTGGTAAACAAAATGTTTGCCAATTTGGATTGTGCATAACTTTTAAACGGCCCATAAGATCTCTCCAAATTAATATTATCGAAATTTATATCAGTCCCTACAATAGAAAATTTGTGTGTAATAATAAAAATGAAATGACTCTTCTAATATTGGCACATAATTAAAAAATGTTGATAATGTTTCTTAAAAGATATCTATATAAGAAAAAAAATTGTATAAGATATATAACCTCAAGTTATCACGAATTATACTTGATCTTAATGTTTCAGAATTCTTTATATACACTGAAGCTATAAACTCGTTCTTCATTATTAAAAGTTTTTAATAATGAATGTTGTCAAAAAAAATTTCCTAGTTTTAAATAAGAACTAGTAAACAAAAATCAGTTTAATTCAGTTTTAAAGTTATCACAATATTGTACCGAAAAAATTGTATTCTTGAAAGTTGTACTTAATATTGCCTCTTAACAGATACAAAAATGTTTTTTCTTAAATTAATAATATATTTTTAATTTGCAAAAGTGATCATCGTTATACGTTATACTTCAGATTAGATTTTGATAACGATTCTCCCTTAAAACAATCTTTGTCTGTGAAACATTTTTCTCTAAAATGTATTGTTCAAAAGATATTTGAGATAATCGTTAAAATAGACAGCCTGTACGTTCTTATATTAAGAATATGATAATTTAGATGATTTCCCTCTTAAATTAAGATTTTTGCGCTTATTTTAGAAGAAAAC